AGATTCAGATTTGAAATTTATCAACAAATGATGAGACTTTTCCACCATATTTTTCGGGTCTCTTTTAAGCTTTTTCAAGCAGTTAGAGCTTCTCAATCAATTTTCGCTTTTTTTTGTTCAAAATTTATTCTTTTTGAGTAGAGTTTCGTGCAAATCTTGGCGATATTCTGCTCGCTAATGTTTTTCTGTTCCTGCATAAACAGTTTTTCCACTTCTTTAGCGTAAATAAAAAACGAGGAAAAAAACGAATAAACACCTTTCTTCGCTGACGGTTTGTGTCTTTTTTTTCAGAGATTTGTTTTGGCAGGGTGCAATTGTGCATGTATTTTGTAAGCATTCGGGAGTGTGAGGAACAAACCTTTGGAGAGGGAGCTGAGTGATGCTTCTCAATTACTATTTCTTTTGCCTTTCAAACAATTATTTTTGTCTCACTGAACACTTTTTTGTTTGCACATATTTTTTTAATTTTATGCTTCAGCAGTTTTTTCTTGGACAAAAAGATTTTCTAAATTTCTAATTTCGGGCAAAAATACCAAGATAGCAAGGACAATGAGTATGGGTATCCCATGTTAGTAATGTTACTGGAATGCTCCCAGTTCCAGCCCGCAGCTATGCCAGGCCCTTCAGCTCTAAATTTAGGGAAAAATAAATTTTTAAGAGCAAAAATCAACTTCTCAAAACCCGCTTCAAAAGTCTTTCGAAGTGCTAGTGTGTGTGAAAAGCTCGCACAAATATGGATTTATCCGACTCATCTTCGCCATTGCATATAGAAGCACATGCCATGAAGAGTAATTCGAAAGTTTACTTAGCGTTCAATGATCTTGAAAAGTTTAAAAAATTGTGAGTGAAAAACGCCAAATGCACTCAATTTTGGGTCATTAGCTGAGGGAAGGGCTCAAAAATAATGAGCGTTTGTGATGAAGTTGCCGAAACTCTGCAGGCTGGACTATTAAATTTAGTAGCCACTGTCCAGGAGCAGGTGGATTTAGTGGCCACTTACTTTTTCTGTTTTTGTTTCAGTTCGTGTCTTTTTATCTGTCGGTTTTTATCTTTCGCATATGGTTTTTGCTCATTTTGTTGCTGTCTTGGCCAAATTTCGTATTTTAAAACTTCGAAAAAATTTCTACTTGAAACTGTTTTTTATGTATTTCGATCATATAAAATGGTGTCAGATATCCCTGCTTTCATGCTGAGTGTTGAGGGCGCCAGCTAAATAATCAGGTTCTCTAAGATTCCTCATTCAGTTCAGTAGCAAATTGTCTGGTATATAACAGTAAGTCAGATCAACCACGACGCTTATCTGTTGGTAACACTCGGAAGAAAAAGCCGGCGATAATCTCATCACCGGGTGATTGTTATTAACACTTACTACCATTCGGACAACTTCCGAGTACCTACACCTCTCATAAAGAATTAATTCAAATTCAAATACGGACTTTGACAAAAACGCTAAATGCGGCATACATCATTTCTTGGGCAAGTTAGAAAATCTAATTTACCCTTCACGTAGTTTTGCGTGAGGCTGCAACTCAAGCTTTTCCTGGAGGGAGGACTTTTTTATGCGTTCTTGCGCCGGTGATGTAAATACGTTGGTTAAAGTAGTTCATGCGGTTAAGGCAGTGAATAAAATTTTGCACGTGTTTTTTAGGCAGTTTTTCAGTGCGAGGGAGGAGAATTGAAAAATGTAAATCTCGGTCCAACTCTTTAAATTAGCTGCTCTAAATATTTTTTTAATGAAAGATCTTTTCATTTTTTTGAACGGCAGATGAAGAGATGTTAATTTTTGCGCATTTTTTAAAATTTACCCTAGTCCCACTTCTCAAAATGATAATTTAGGAAATACGGCTAAGCCGGTCAAGTTCTGCGGACCACCTTTTTATGCAGTAAAATAGTTTTCAACCCTTTTGCAACTGCTTGGTATCGTTCTTTTGGTCCCAGTGGTTTCAGCAACTACTTAGGGCGAGGCTGGCACTTGCTCTCACCTGGATACTACTCCCAAAAAAAAAAACATTATTCCTTTATTGCCGATTCATCGATTTCACATTTAAACACACAGGCACTTCAAATGATGGGATTATTTTGCCACTTCAAAGTGTTCCAAGTTGCACCAGCTTCTTTCCAGCCACCGTCTTAGCTCTCTCTTCCTTACCTCAGTCCTCCGCCCTCTTTTCCCTCATTCATTGCAAATATTATTGTTTGTCCAGGCGTGTCTAGTTTGCTGTTCTACTAGAAGTGGCTAAAAAATATTAAGGTTCCGGCTGTACAGCGGAGATTCCTGGCTTCTCCTCCATTTTGCTTCTTAAAAAACAGCTTAAGCG